ACATGGGATTATTGGGAAAAAGTAAAGCCTTTAGGAGGAGATGGGCTTTGTTGAAAGGAAGTTAGGTCACTATAGAGATGACCTTGAAAAAGACAGTGAGACTCTGGCCCTTCCTTCCCTCCAGCTGCTAAGTGAACAGCCCTCCTGTGCCACACTCCAGAACCAAAAGCAGGGTCATGTGACCATGGCTGAAACCACCAAATCAGAGAGCCAACACGAACTTTTTCTCTCTTAAGTTGATGATTTGCTATTTGCCTGCAATGGAAAGCTGAGGAATACAGCATTGCCTCTCTGCCATGTTCTCCTCGGTGCCAGCCTCCCACTGGCAGTAACTTAGTGAATGTCTCTTAGTCACACATTATCAATGTATCATTTCTGTAACTTCCTCTTCCTCCTTTCAAAAGTTAAACATTTATCTATACTTGTAACTCTGGCCATTTTTCCACTCTTAGTCATTTCTGAAAGCATATCTCCAGGCTATAAAACCCAGAGCAGGTTAAGGAGTCAAGTCTTTGCCATTTATGACTTTAAAATAATTATGTCTGCCTCTTCCATAAAGGCATAATGCTCACTATGGCATATTGTTACCAAGTTCACCAGTCAGTACCTCGCACCAAGGATGGCGCCGACACACTTCAGTCTCCATTTTTGTTTTGTTTTTGTTTTTCAATGAAAAAGTTAAGAAAATACTCTATGTTGCCTTAAACTCATTCAACCCTTAGACTTCCTGAACTCATCCTGAAAGATTTGGGTCACTTTTCAGCATCTGTTCTAATATAGCACTGCATTTTGTCTGTTTCTTCCAGTAATAGAAAGATTGAGTGCTACAAATTAGGTTTGTTGTCATGGTTACCTGTTTCATTTACTGAGAAATTCTTTATCCACACACCTTTCACATCCCTACACAGTTCAGAAAATCTGAAGTTTCTCACAATACCCTTACTGGCAAAGGGTAACAGTCAAGGATTGGACAGCAAAGAAGGAATGACTACACCAGAAACTTTAAGCAAACTAAAAAAAAAAATAAAAATAAATAAAAAAATCTGCAGAGATCAAATATAAAATTGCTATCTGTACTTTCTGGTATAGATTAATATTAAAATAAGATGACAATGATATAGTTTCCTTAGAAAATAAAGGGAAATTCACAGAGTTGCTAGGAAAAATCCACGTTCTCCACCTCTGAACATGAAGAATTGTGTCTTCTTGAGAGTGCCGCATTAATCAGTTTACTAGGAGAAAGGAGGAACAGTGATTGAGCTGTTGAATTGTGGTGCTTATCTTCAAGGCCAGGCTTTGAAACCAAATGGAAGTTCTCTTGGTCTTGTCAACAACTGATAAATGAAACTTCAAATTCTCTGGATAGTTCAGAATTAGATTTAAAAAAAATAACTTTATTCTTCAAAGACTGTATCCATTGACATAATTTATTCCCGTTCAAATACTAAAGATGATATGCAAATTTAGAAAGGGTTCTTTTTCTATTAATTCATTAACTCACTTACTGTCTAAGGATCTAAGAACAAAGCATGGTGTGGCGTAAGTTAGATAAATTGCATCCAAAAAGGGCTTTTGTATCTCTAGCTAGGGAGGGATTTTGTTTTAGTTCAGTCAAAACAAATGAGCTGAGTGGTTCATTGCTGCTTCTGGAAAACACGTTTTTTGTTGGTTTGCCATTTTAGTTGTTTGGTAGGTTTTAGTAAGAATAACAGGGTCGAGGCTGGAGAGATGGCTCAGTGGTTAAGAGTACTGACTGCTCTTCCAGAGGTCCTGAGTTCAATTCCCAGCAACCACATGGTGGCTCATAGCCATCTGTAGTGGGATCAGATGCCCTCTTCTGGTGTGTCTGAGGAGAGTAACAGTGTACTCACAAACATTACATAGATAGATAGATAGATAGATAGATAGATAGATAGATAGATAGATAGATAGATAACAGAGTCTATAGGTTAATTACTAACCCAAAGCCAACTAGATTGCTTCTCCTGTAACCAGCTATGACCCTGTGTATATGTTTACTCTATGATGTCTTTAAAATACTGCATTAAAACTGACTTTATAATATTAGTCTGCTTAGGCCTTTTCTACGCACTAGTAAGATGAACAAAGCATTAAAATTGGTCATGTGTTCTAAGTTTTATGATGTCAGTTGTTGAAGTAACCAGACTCTGAGGCCGAGTTTAGTGGCCCAGATATTTATTAAGAAATGCTCTTGGCCTCCAAACCTGAAAATGGATGGAGAATGAAGCAGTTGTGGACAGAAGTAGAGTTGTGATATGTGCCCAAAGCATCCTCAACTAAAACCATGTGGAACACCAGAACTAGACACTTCTTTAGCATTTCCCTCTTTGAGTCAAGATGGTCATCAACACATCATGGACTTGCTGGACAGCATCCTTCCGGGGAGGAAACACACCCTTGGTAGGGCATTTCTCTGCAGCTGAGGCAACTCTTGAAGGAAGACAGCAAGTGCTGGGAAGGCTGTCAGCTGCTAGGCAACAAGTCCCACACTACAGGCACATTATAGTATCCACCAGAAAACTAAGGTTATTGGCCCCTCTGTTTTAGAGGTCTTTTTATTACCTTAAGTTATGTGCAGGTGTATAGGTACACACTCAGGGGTGCTGCTTCCCTCATAGGCAAAGGCACTAAGTACCCTGGAGCTACGGTTACCCATGTATATGAGTTGCTGCCTGACACAGAAGCTGGAAACCAATCCTTGATACTCTGCAAGAGTAGTGCCCCTTCTTAACCACTGGGGATTATTGGTTCCCCTTATCTACATACTCCCAAAAATGTTAAATGTAGCTTACAGGGACCATTAATTTGACATTTAAAAAAATCAGAAGCAGAAAATATTGCTTAATCCTGTTTCCCATGTTTCCTACAAGATAAATAAACAAAAGAACTCAGCCTTTGGCAAGATCACTCTGAATTGCTTAAGTAAGGCTTAAAACATAATTTTTTAAATACAAAGCACACTTTTATATGCTAGAACATTAAGACAATTTGGTGGAAAGATGTTCTACAAAGGGATTCTAAAATTTTTTACTCTTTTATAGACCAAAATGCCAGCCAATCAAAGCAGTAGAAGGAGGGAGTATCTCTGTCATTGGTAGTTTGAAGATAGAACTTTTCTGTAACCTAATCCTTTATAAAATACAGTGTTTATCTCTATGTTTTTTGAGTTTAAAAGCTCCAAGCCTTTGTATTTCTCTCTCAATTCATTCTCGACTACTTCTTGTTCTATTTTAGTGTTTTTTAAAGTGTATTTTATTTTATGCATAAGGATGCTTTGTACATCTATATGTCTACATACCATGCATGCCTGGTGTCCTTTAGGCCAGAAGAAAGAATCAGTTCCCCTAGGGTTGTAGGGGTTGTACTAGGGTTGTAGACATTTGTGAGCTATCCTGTGTGTAAGCTGGGAATCAAACCCCCATCCTCTGCAAGAACAAATACTCTTATCCGCTGAGACATCTCTCCAGCTCCCTCAGTTGTTTTTCTGAAAATGGACAAGGAGCTTCATTTTATTTAAAGTCAACTTTAAATAAATTTTAGCTGCAGCTTTAAAATATCAATCATTAACAAGGGGGATGGGGATGAGAATTAGTTAGAAGGACTGACAAGTTGTCTTAAAGTAAGCTGAGTTACAAAGGACACACATCCTTAACTTGGATTTTATGTTGATTTAAAGCAGTCCTCAACCTTCTTAATACTATGACCCTTTAATACAGTTTCTCATGTTATGGTGACCCCCAACCATAAGGTTATTTTTGTTGCTACTTCATAACTGTAATTTTGCTACTGTTAGAAATCATTATGTAAATATCTGATATTTCCAATGGTCTTAGGGGACCTCTGTGAAAGAAAGAGTCTTTCAACCCCTAGAGGGATCATGACCCACAGGTTGAGAACCACTGATTTAGAGTTTTCTGAAATTGAATGTAGGTGTTGGGAGGTAGTTAATGCTCACGGATATTGTACTTATCTCTTTGTGGTTGTGATGCTGGGCATTGCCTATATTCATGTAATTTTTAAAATATGCTTTTATCATTGAGAATGTGGCATTTAAACCAGGAGTAGTGGCTGTAATCCCAGCATTCAGGAAAGCTGAGGCAGAGGGACTGCCATGATTTCTGGGACAGCCTGGACTAGAACTATAGAGAGAGAACCTCTCTCTTACACACACACACACACAGACACACACACACACACACAGATGACACACATCATGGAGAAGAAGCTAAGTATGAAGCTATGCAAATAAGAGTTGAAACAAAAAAAAATCACTGCTATTTAAAGAATCAGATTTTGTTTCAGACAAAATGGCCCTGGAGAAGTCTGGAGAGATGGCTCAGTGGGTAAGGGCACTGACTGTTGTTCCAGATGGACCTGGCACCTACATGGCAGCTCACAGCTATCTGTAACTCCAAGATCTGACACTCTCACATAGAAGTACATGTAGGCAAAACACCAGCGCACATAAAATAAAAAGTAAATACGTTTTTTTTTAAAAAAATAGCCCTGGCGAGAGACCTTGCAGCTAAGGACTTTAAACAGTGGGAACAGTTTATACTCTATTTGTGCTATTATTTCCACACGTAAAAATGAAGGGAAAACTAGGTGAAAATTCAGATCAAAGGAGCAGTAGTAACTTCCTCCCATTGAATCAAAGGCATTCTGTGCTAATGGTATGACGGTCACTTCCATGATTGCCTTTCTGTTTATTTCAGTATGCAGGCATGGATCTCTATGTCCATAATCAATTCTGCATTTACTGCTATGGACTACATGTCTCCAGTGCCGATTTCGTTCTGATCTATGTCTGAGACCTTCAAACATTGTTGACAAGTAAAGAGGGCTTGTAATAACTGCTTTTATGATTTCTTGTCCAATTGCCACACACGGATGAAACTAAACTGGGTCCACTCTGTACCTAGGTGGAGAAGCAATTCCTGCAGGAACTCTGAAGAGCCACCACGATGCAGCCGTGAAGGATGAGTAGCACCTACTGTGGCAATTCCTCAGCAAAGATGAGTGTCCACGAAGTCTCTGAATCCTCCCTGTCTCTGGAGCAAAAGACAGGCTTTGCCTTTGTGGGCATCTTGTGCATTTTCCTGGGACTTCTCATCATCAGATGCTTCAAGATTTTGTTAGACCCCTATAGTAGCATGCCCTCTTCTACATGGGAAGATGAAGTCGAAGAGTTTGATAAGGGGACCTTTGAGTATGCACTTGCCTGACGGTGGTTCCAATCCAGGGTATTCCCACTTCCATTGAGACATGTGATAGACACATTTTTAATTAGCTTGCCTGTGCTGCTGGAGAGAGGGTCATTCCATTCATGACATTCAATAAACATCTGTGATTGATTTATCCACCATGCTGTGTACAATCTCGTGTTCTTTCTGGTCTTCTTCTCCAGTGGAAGTTTCTACGAGTAGAGTGGAAACCAGACCTCTTCCTCCATATTCCCTCCTCTGATATCTGCCCTTGCTAAGGAGCTACCCGAGGAATTTTGCAAAGCAAACCCACCTACCCTCTCCACATTCCAGACCAGAGTCACAGCGTAGCTTTGGTGACCCTTGTGTTGTGTGACACTATTTTTGGAGAGACATGAACACAGTTCTACTCAGCCTGGTGATAGACTGGGGTCACTTTTAGGAATATGGGTGAAGGGTTACTTACAGGAGTAGAAATAATACAACAACAGCCTTATCACCAATAGCTCATGCCAGCATGAGCGAGTGATAGCTCACAAAGACTGGGAACCTGGGGCTCAGGGCACAGCCTGCAAGCAGCTCCACAGGTTAGAAAGTGTCTCCTTGAGGCAGCTCACATGATCTGAACCTCTTCCAGGCATCTCAGCTTGTCTGAGAGCACCTCTCAGTAGTTCTCACTGCTTATGCTTGGAGAAGGAAAGAACTAAGGTATCTGGTCAGTTTCAGAAACTCCTTGAAGCCTTTGGGCTCCTTAATGGAATGTTTTCCCTCCCCTTACAGCATTCTGTGTCTTGAGGAGCTTCTTTCTAAGATGGGGACTTGTCTCAGAGGAAATTGCTATACAACACTTGGGCTCAAAGACCTTTCAGCCCCAAAAAGAAAGAATATTATTTCTTAAACAGGGGTCATAGGTTAGAAAGTTCACAGTGGAGCAAATTCTGAAAACTAACCTTGCAAGCTTGCAGAGATGTGAAGGTTCTCAGAATCCTCAGCATTCTTCTCTGCCTTGAAGAACCTCCATGGTGAAATCCTGTAGTGTAGCATCCCTGCCAGTCCTGCCACACATGGACACTAGCTACACCACCCTCCTTCAAGGCTAACACTAAAGAAACAGCTCCAACATCACTCAGTAGGAGGGACAATCGTACTGAGGCAAGGTGTCCAGCCTGCCACCACTGGAGCCATGCCACGAGGTGCCAGTTTGTCTAATCTCAGTGGACTTTTGGGAAGAGATAGCCATAGAGGGTGAAACCGTCCTTGGGGAGACATGAACACATGTCTACTCACCCTCAGTGATAGACTATTGTAAACTCAAACAGCCTAAATATGCCACAAGTGTATCTGGAAAGTCAGAGAGCTAAAGAAAGGTTTGAAGTTATCATACAACATTTCAATGTTGGCTCACACCAGCAACTAGCTTCATAACCTAGAAAGTAACCAGAGGGCAGACAGTTTCCACATCCATGAAACAAGGATGAGAAGCCTGGGCACACTCTCAGGAATGTTGGTAAGAGTGTGGAAGTGTAAAGAATGGAAAAGCACTCAGAAAACTATAGAGCAGGTAAATGTATCACCCTCACTCTGTGTCCATACCGCTCCCAACCCAGCACCGAGGGTACACATGCTTCTCCCACACTTGAGTTTTGCATGCGTGCTGGGGATCTGAACTCAGGTCTCTGCTAGCACAGCAGACACTTTTCCCACTGAGCCAACTCCTTGGCCTCTACAACTCTTTACCAAGACTCTTAATCATGTCTGCAGTGTTCCAAAATAGCAGCCCCAGAAAGATGCCTGGTGGGCCTTTTATTTGTTTGCTTGTTTTCTCCCAGTAGATTTATAAAATATCTCTGTTGACTATGGTTCTTCTGTTCCAAGCCTTGACATCAAAGATGCTCTTGGTGCCCTGGGTGGTACAGAGAACCTCACATCCAGTTGGTAATCTGTCCCAAGAATAACTCAGTAAGTTGAGCTCAGGTGACCTTGCTGGAAGGCATCTGTGCCCAAACACAGGGCATCATCTTCGTGGCATGGGTTTCTCCAGTGCCTCCCCTAAGATTCGTGTCCAACTTGCAGAGGCTCCATTTGCCCCAGGGACAACATTCACTAAGACTTTCCATTTCACAAGATCAGATTTTTATTTCAAAAAGAAGAGATGGGGGTAAGATGAGAACATAAGGATGCATCATTTCAAGTCATCAACTCCCAGCACAGTACCACTCCCGGCATCACTAGGAAGAATACAATGCATACTGACAGAAAGTACTGATCCACGGCTTTTATTTTTCATTTGTGCATCTTACTCTTGGGGGTTTGGGGTAGAATAATGGTCATCATTTGTGTTTCCAGAGTGAGAAGTGATAACTATAAAAAGTCATAGTTGAGATACAATATGGAAATGTTAATGCTTCTAAGAATAGAGGGCCAGTAACATACCCAGATCAGCCCCTATTGCAGTATACAAGAGCCTGTTAGGGAGAACAGGAAGAAAGATGGTGTCTGTACTTCTGGATAGTTTCCTTATCCACCTGCCCCTTAAGCTCACCATCCAAGGTTGACTTCGTGAGTGATGTCATCTCATCCATATCCTCTGACTATCTCCCAGCCACTCTAGAAGGTTCGAGCCCCCTTAATGAAGAACAGAGGCTATCATTTCCCTGATAGAGATAAGAGCCTCAAATGAAAATGTCTGCTTGATGGAAGACTGAGACTGAAACTAATTCATACACACTGAGGTCAGAGAGGCAAGCAGCAAGAAAAAGAGACTGACTCCTGAGGCCTCCCAGCCTCTGGGGGATTAAAAATGCTGAAGAATGAATAAGGTATTCCTGACGGCAGGAGAGGGATGGATGGCACCAATCATCCTGGTACAGGGAACAGAACTTGTTTTGGGTCCCAGACTCATCTCAGCAGTCTGTTGATCTATTAAGCATCCCACCATCCCCTACCTGAACCTGACACCTGACCTCCTATACAGAATGCCCTTCTTCTAGGTAAGTGTTGCAACCCCTTATAGAAGAAATAAGTTTCTTTAATTAAAATGGTCTTTATGAGACGATTAAGGCTGGTGAGATTGTTCAGTGGGTAAAGGGACTTGCTGCCAGGCCTGACACTTGAATTTAAACACTGGGACAGAAGTAACTGGAGAACAAACTCCCCTGAGGTTATCCTTTGATCTCTATATATACCATATGTACACTCACACCCCAACACACAAATAGATAATTGTAAAACCAGAAAAGGGGAGAGAAGATCGAGTTACAGCTGTCTCTATAATTCTACTTCTGACAGAACCTTATAACAGTAACTCGGTTAGTACCAAGGCTCGCAGCTGGCTGAAGGCAGCAGCTGGATTTTCCTTTGGCATCTCCATGTCCCTTTGTACAATCCCGTGTTTGATCACCAATTTACCTTCCTCTTCATTTTAATAGGTGCGATTCCTAACCCTGTCTTTAATGGTTGGTTTCAGAATCATGAGTATGAGTAAACAATTTACAAACAGATAATATATATCACTAAAATAGTGCAAGCAAGGACTGCGTTCAAACTGGTGCTGTTTAGAAACAGATAAAATTAGCTCACGTAAGCCTCCGGATAAATCAGCAAGTCACATGTCCTTAGTGTCTGCATCCAGGTTTGCATACGAGGACATTAAAGTACACACAGGGAACGAGTCTCCTGAATTCCCCCAGACAGGAAGTGACAGGGCCAGAATTGAAATTGAGAATTCTTCACTCACAGCTCACACTTAATCACTACGTCATACCACAGCAGAGCCACCCGGGCGACTGGAAATCACTTGGATAGCTTCTTATTAGACCCAAAGAGGACTCATTCAATCATCCTGATTGAAAGCCAATGACAGGCCTGCATGGAGGAATTGCACATGCCGTCTTAATCACCTGCTCACAGGCTGGAGCCGAACCGTCTTCTGAGCAAAAGTCAGGAACTAGATGTGATAAAAAATGGTTCCTCCATGAGGTGACAGAAAAGCCATTTAGTAGTGCCACTGGGAGGTATGCCTGGTTTGTGGTTTTCACACTCGGCAGAAATCTTTTTAATACCTCACTAATTCTACCCTCAATCCATTCACTTCCTATGCAGAGAGGAGGCAAGGTTAGTAGGGTCAAATAATTTCAGGTCACATTTCCTAGCCACAAAATATGGAGACCATCTCATGGTATTTTGGTTCCTATGCTGAGCAATATGAGGTCACTGGGTCTCATCAAGAATAAGATGATGAGCTAGGCCTGGTGACAGAGGCCTGCTTCCAGCTACCTGGCAGGCTGAGGTCAGGTCAGGAGGATGATGAGGCTGCCAGGAGTACAAAGTGAGCTCAGACCCAGCATGGGTAATTAGCAAGATAAAACGTTCAGAGACGGGGTGGGGGAGGTCAGTGGTAGAGTACTTACTTAGAAGGTATGAGGCCCTGGGTTGAATTCCTAAAGAGAGAGACAGAGACAGAGACAAAGAAAGACAGAGAGACAGAGACAGAAACAAAACATAGAGACAGAGACAGAAAGACAGACTGTGGGACTAAATTTATCTAGTCCCAAACAACTGAAGCAATATTTTTTGAAGGATTTGTTGTTGTGCAATGTGTGAATTAAAGAAACTTTATTTTGTTTGCTGTCTAAAAGGATTAATGATTTACTACAAGTTACTAGCTGATGCGGTACTTACGGCTCCTCAGGGCTAATGACTGGCAGGGTTTCTCCCACTATTCCAGGCCAATGACTGAAAAGTCATCTCTTTCAAGAAAGTTTTTAACCAATGAGCAGAAGCCTAAGGTTGTGGGCTGAAAGCTAAGGCCCCATATATGCCTGTGCAATGCTAACGTGGGTTACGCTTCCTCAGAAGAAGGCTGCTGGATGGGAAGGTAAGTGTCTAGGCTGGGCAGAAACCTCACTTCATATCATGTCAAAACAGAGCCTGAGGACTGGACTGAAGATGTCAGGGGCTGTGGGAAGTTAAAAGTTCTAGCCTAAGAGATGTGGGCTGCGCTGATAATCTCACCAGGAAAGATTTTTTTAAGTGTTTAAATTATGTGCATTTGTTTGTTTTGTTCAAAGAAATAACTTAAATTATTGTGCAAGAGCCAAGTTTTTGTTAGTATTGTTCCTATTTTCTAGTTTTCTTTGGGGAAAAAAATCAAATTTTCAGGTATCTACAAAGAAATATTACTCTAAAGACAGTATTTAAGGTTGGCACATACTGTAGAATTGTGAAAATTATCAAGTGGTTTATTGAACTCATAAAACATTGCATTAAAAAGAGCCAGTAGAATATAAGCCTTTACTGAGAGCTATGATTTATTTTCGTATCCCAAACACTCATTTTTTTTAAGGCTTCCACAATAGCATTTATGAAAAAGCACAAATATGTGAGCAAATGAAATGTTTCAGAGGCTACTAAAAGTTCTGAAGATTCTCAGAACGTCATCTTAAGAGACTTAGTTTGTGGTTTTTGTTTGTTTTAATTTCATATTCTAAAATGTAACTTTTTATGTGTTACACAGGTAAAATTTTTTCTGGGTCAAATTCATCATTGATGATGTGTGGATTTTTGTAACTAGCAAAAAAAATTTTTTTCAATATTTTCAGGTCTTGTATTTTGTGTATCAAACAGCGGATAATGCTACCAATGTAAATAATAACGGATAATGTAAAATCCTTTGCAACGCTGGCATTTAGACTCTCCGCGAACTCTCTTACTGTCTTAGATTACTAACATGCTTTCTAAATGTTCCAGTGACTTCCAAGCAAACATGACCAACAGTCACATGCTAGTGACTTCATTAGAACTTCTGTTTGCAGAACTCAATCCCCTGCAATTTGCTAGGATTTCCTTGCTCAGGTAGCAAGGGTTTCAGGACAGGAATTTTCAGTGAAACAAAACTATAAATCTTTGTGCCTCAAACCAAAATCCTTCTTAAATATTTGCATTGCCTGGAACAAATATAAGTTTCTTTCTTAACAGCAGCTTTGAAGATCATTCTGAAGATTACATGGGAGACCACACATCAACAATACATCAGGAATCTAGCTAGCTATTGGGTCATCTAGAACCAAAACCAAGCACTCCATATTATAACCATACTATTGTCTATTTTGAAGCAGAAATACATAGATTAAAACAATAACCACTATAAAATAGGTAGTTCTAAAGTAGATTTTGGAAGATGTCAGTCAACATCCCTTCCAACTCAGTGCCCAGTAGCACCAGTCGTTTTCAGGTCCATGTCATAAACGAGGGCCACGGCAGTGGTGCAGCCGTGAGTGACAGCGCAGACCCCCCACATTATGAAGAGACATCTTTCGGGGACGAAGCCCAGAACAGACTGAGAATCAGCTTTAGGCCTGGGAATCAGGAGTGCTATGACAATTTTCTCCAAACTGGAGAGACTGCTAAAACAGACACCACGTTTCACGCTTATGACTCTCACACAAACACATACTACCTACAAACCTTTGGCCACAACACCATGGACGCCGTCCCCAAGATTGAGTACTACCGCAACACGGGCAGTGTGAGCGGGCCCAAGGTCAACCGGCCCAGCCTGCTGGAGATTCACGAGCAGCTGGCTAAGGTAAGCGTCCTTCTATGCCATTTCTTCGGGATAAAAACACTGCAGAAGCAGCGGTCAAACGAAGAGGGCTGGTCCACGCTATCTATCCTCCTTACGCAGCTGTCTCTGGTTCCCAAGAAACAGACACTGTACAGGAGCTCTGCAAATGTTTACTGACTTGGGAAAGAAGTGTAGACTGAACTCGGGAAGGTGGGCAATGTATCCCAATGGTGTTTGCAGCAAGGATACTCAAGATCCATTGGGCTGACTGTGCCCCACTGAATCCTAAGCTGTTTCTACTTTAATGTTAAAGATTCCACAGCAATCCTTAAGCAAACCACTATGCTTTCATATTGTGGGAGCCAGTCTGTGGTGCAGCCATGGTGTGGCCTTAAGACTCAGCTACTCTGGAAGCTGAGGCAGAATTATGACTAGTTTTTCTGTTTTTAAAAGAAAGATCAGAACTGCCTAAGATTCAGCCCGTGTGTCTCTCCTCTTCATACCTTTGCCTGAGGCTCCTGGCTCTACTAAATTTAAGCCTAGAAGCACAGAAGTGACCAGACTTCCTATTTAAAGAATGCAAAAGGGTTCCAAAGTCTCTGAAAGGCTCTAATCTATACCTCATTATTTAGAAGCTTAGATTTCTTCTGTGACTTCCTCAGAGATATGCTGACAGACTTTATCCTCCTGCCTCTCTGACAGCTTGTAATGAATAACATTCTTTTTCATACGTCACTGTGGGGGGGGGGGCTGTGCAGGTATACCAATTTGAATGTATGTGCTTTCATGTGTGTTTGCAGGTGTGTGGAGAGGTTGATATTGGGCAGATTCCTCAGTTTCTTCACCTTATGCATTGAGGCAGGCTCTCTCACTTGAACCCCATGCTCGATGATTCAGTTACTGTAGTTAGCCAGCTTCCTCTGGAGATCTCCCATCTCCACTTCCTCAGTACAGAAAGCACAGGTGGGACACCATATCAGCCTCTTTCTGTGAGAGCAAAAGAGGAAAACTCTGGCCCTCACACTTACCAGGAAATGATTTGCCCACCGAGCCGTCTCCCCAGCCCTGAATATCACTTTGTGGAATATGGTTGCTCTCTGGGAAGATAATTGAATATAAATTTCAAATGTTTATTTACTTACAGCCAAGCTTTCAGGAAAATGAATAAATGCACAGTTTATTTCATAATCATTCATTTATTCACTTATCCATTCTGGCTCTTAAAAGTTAAAAAAGCAGGTAGTGGTTGCTTAGACCTTTAATCCCAGCACTCCAGAGGGAGAGGCTGGAGGATCTCAGAGTTTGAGGTAAACCTGGTCTACAGAGTGAGTTCCTGGACAGGCAGGGTTGGTTACACAGAGAAACTTGGTCTCAGGAGGTGGTGGGGAGCAAAGTTAAACAGTCTGCTATCGCCCCCAGCCGGACTCAGGACGGGTTCTCTCAGGAATGATTCTGGTAAAGGCACTGGCTTTAGTTTCTTCTCACCTTCTTTCCAGAGGAAAGACGTCTACAAAGTTTACTCTCTGAGCTGCAGGGGGCCCAACTCTCTACTAGGACTTCCAGAGGAAGAGTCCATGCTCTCAGTCCGCTCCTATACCCTCATCCACAAACCTTCCTCATCTGCCCAGTGTGCTGCATCGGTAGCAAGGTGCTAACCTTAGACTTTGAGATATCTAGTGCTTTAATCAAAAGAAACAAAATAGCATCATGGTTATTCAGTATCAGCTTCCAGGAGGGGTCGGGGGATTTTTGCTTTTGTTTTTTCTTTTTTTTTTTTTGGAAAGGTAATTTGAAACTTCAGACAAACTGCTTGTCAGTTTCTTTCTCTAAATGAAAAGAAGAAAAGGAGACTGGAAGGGTCAGGAAGAAGGTTCAGGAATGAAACAGTAGACAGGGAGGGGGACATGACATGATGGCTCTAAGTTCTGGAAGGGGCAGAAAGAGAAGATAAACATCCCAAGGAGTTTCTGATTATCTGAAGAAGTAAAAAGAACCAAAAACGTCTACAAAAAGACATGGAAGTCAACCCCACCGAGTCCTGTACACTACACTTACCTTGTAAAGCTGCCCCCGTTATTAAAAGTAATTAAAAATGTAAATACTCATTCATCCAGTCCCACAATTTACAACAAAGAAAATGATACTTTAGCCTTCATTAAGATGACACTGGAAGCAGAACCTGTTTGTTCAGGTTGGCAATCCCAGTTAACCCCAGACGTGATTTCCAAGTCAGAAAATTATGACAAGGGCTGTATAATGGGTAAAATGAGGGGAGAAAAGTAAAAGTTCAGGGCCTGCCTGGGTTACAGACAGAGATCAGGGTCAGATAGAGCTACTGGGTAAGACCTTGTTTCAGAACCAAAGCTTGAATTTAAAACAAAATAAAGGAAACAATCGAAAAGGCTTAGTGATGCTGTGCTTATCCAGAACATATAAAACCTATAGGTTCAGTCCCCAGCACCATTAAGAAAAAGAGGTTGGAGTTGAGTGGAAGGCATGTTGTTCTAGAGAGAAACGTAGCTTACTTGTAAGTTTTAAACCCCTGGTTTATGAAGATCTTTACACTGTGGAAATCATCTCAGTAGCAAAAGTTTTTTTCAGTGTGCCATCTGAATGGCCACTCAGTGCCGCAGCTGCCTTTGACATGGCACACTGGAAGCTGTTTGGGTTGCCTTAACATTTATTTTTTTTAATGGACAACATAAGACTAAGGCATTGACATTGTTTTGTGCTCTGCTCTTTTCACTCTAGGCTAGGCCTTGGTGATCTCCCCAGATCAAAGAATGTGCAGTGACTACCTAGCATCTGATAAGGACTAATTTTGCAATTTTACTTCATAAAAAGAATTCTGCTTTTTCAATTTCCCTTAGATTTGTATTTGTTTTTATTCAGATTTAGACTGCATGTGATTGAAGCTGCAGAAGCTGCATTGCTTTTTTTTTTTTTTTTTTGTATTGGGAGAGGAAAAATCTTGTGTCAACTAGTCTTCCTTTCTTTTTAAATACACTTTATTTTCTCTTCTCTGAATCTGTAATACACAAATAGAAATCTCGGTGAATGGGTGATTGTTCTATAGAACTAAAAATGCATCTGTGAGGGATTAAGGGTCATCATTTATGGAGTGCAAAGAAGCAAATTAATTCAAATTGTAAAGAAAAAAAACCAGGAAGGATGCAATCCCAGAACTTTGCATCCGTGAGACACTAACAGCATTCAGATGTCTGTGAACCCCTAGGCAGAGCTTAGCAACCTTCAGACCCCACAAACCCTGACTCAAGTCACATTCAATATTTGTATGAAACACTGAATTCATTATTGTTCTGGTGTACAAAAGGAAGCATTTATCAAAAAGTAAAACAAAGATTTGCTTTACCACATAAAAGGTGATTCTGCCTTAAACCACTTCCAGATAATATTTTTTTTAAAAAAAAAAATCTTGGCTGTGTTCACATTTCTAGTTTCTAAGAAAGCAAAAATAGATTGCTATAGGACATGCCCTGGATTAATTTCAAGAAAAATTAGATTCCATGTGTAGTTTCTCAGGCACAGACCCTTTCTGCTCCTATATGTTACGGTCAGCCAAGAAAATGGCGTCGGCTCTTAGAAACTTACTATTAAACATTAGTCACAAAAGGAAATATAGTCGTAAAAATTCAAGGTCACTGGCCTTGACATAAATATACTTAAAACTTCAAAACACTAGCAAGTTTCATATATCTATGAAAAGAGTTGTCGGTCTTACATTGACTCTGCTTTTGAATAATTTAGAAACTCATTGCTGTACTCACTTCTATGCACGGTGGTTTCTCTGTCCTGCACTCAGACAATGTTCTCTTGGTTCTCTGAAGTCCAAGTGATGGATTGAAGAACCATAAAACTGTGATCAGAAATGGCATCCATCAAGAAAAAAAAACTTCATCTAATGGAGAAGTTTAAAGATGTACTTTATTCTTTATATGACTTTATAGATTTTAGCCATTATTAATGCTCTCATTCTCCAAATCTAAGAGTCAGAGTCACCATTGGCGTTCATCAGAGAGTACAGCAATCTCCCAGACCAAACCCTCACAGGTTTTCCCAGAAAGCATAGGTTTCATTCCCAAAACCCTGGGACAAGTGGCTAAAGCTTTCTCATGTGACCCCAGTCATAGGCAGTGATTGACGAGAATATTGGTAATCATAAAGGTCGACTCTCCAACTAAGTTGAAGAAATGAGCTCTCTCTCTAACCAGACAATTCCTTCACTCATATTAGCACAGCCGTAATTTTCATGCTTTTTGAAGATTGTTTTAGACATGGGAAGTAAAAGCCGTCGCTGGGACACAGCTCCAGGTGGAAAGGACATGCAGAATTCCCTGGTGTAGGTGTGTGTGGCAGAGAGACAGAGAGAGAGAGAGAGAGAGAGAGAGAGAGAGAGAAAGAGAGAGAGAGAGAGAGAGAGAGAGAGAGAGAGAGAGAGATTGACAGACAGACAGAAACAGGAGACAGCCTCTCCAGGTGCTCAGAGGTCAGTCAGCCTACCATATATAGAACAACAAAGAAACCCTGTTTCAATCAAGATAGAAGGCTAGAAGGCAAGGGCCAACACCCAAGGTCGGTCATCCTCATGCCTCAACAAGTTCTTGTCTGCATCATACACACAAACACATGCACATATGCACACACATCATATCCAACACAAACTCATGCATCTTACATATTCATACACCTGCACCCACACATACAAAACCACATATATGCACATACATCATGCTGACACTGCATACATGCATACATCATACATACTCACACACCTGCATTCATATACACAAACACATACACATATGCACACACATCATACATAATACAAAGGCAAACATCCTATCACCCATTCACACACGTCGGAAATACAGGCATACACACACCCCACTCACAATTGAAAGTAAATTTGCAGGTGACTGCTGGCTACTTTATGGTTCTAGGATTTATTAAAAGAAAAACGCTTTTTACTGAATGTGTGAAAAGTACCTAATGCTTTCATCAGAAACTGACTGTACCGTATTAGCCTGTGTTGAGGTAGCCCATGCATGACCTCTAGCTACTGACCACTGGAAATGAGGCTAGTCTAAGCCAAGATGTGCTGTTAATGGAAAATACACATTGGCTTTTAAATTTTTACTTCTATAAAACCTCCTTGGTACTTTATACCGACTATAAGCTTGAATGGTAACATTTGGTACAGACTCAACTGAGTGAAATATAATCTAAAACCCCTTGTGACTCCAACCCCTACTACAAAGTGAGGGACCATGATTGCTAACACACCTCTACATTTCAAATATCAGTAATGCAATTTTCTATAAGAATTTTAAAATCTGATTATCTCCATCTAAACCTACGTTATTTCTCCAGAAGATTTTTCTCTTTTATTTAGCTTTTCTCCTTTGAATCCATTGTCTTGTGTATAGTTTTGCATCCTTCAGCCTTAGCCATGGCTGTAAATAACTCACAAAGGGAAGCCATTAGCAACCAGGGTAAGATACAATAACTACTAAATTACTTGCTGAGGTTATTGAAATATTTTCCCCCCAGAGTTTTACGGCTACTGTTTGGATTTGGCTTTGAAAGATTTAAAAAACAGTTTGTTGATCCACTACTATGTTTTGTTTTTCTCTGTAAAAATGCAGAATGTGACTGTGGCCCCTGGTTCAGCTGACAGGGTTGCTAATGGAGATGGGGCGCCTGCAGATGAGCAAGCAGAAAACAAGGAAGAAGACACAGCTGGAGTCGTGAAGTTTGGATGGGTGAAAGGAGTGCTGGTGAGCGAGGTCCTCTGCTACACCGAGAGCCACGCCCTAGGCGATCCCACAGGGGTCACCAGCCAGCCCAGGACACCAGAGTTACTATGAAGGTTAGTGGGGCTTGGTCCGGGATTGCTTTCAATTCTCACTTTCATCCACAGGTGCGATGCATGCTGAACATCTGGGGAGTCATGCTGTTCATTCGCCTCTCCTGGATTGTAGGAGAAGCGGGAATTGGTGAGCAATTTTCCCTCCTAAATAATTTTTATGCAAATTGCAAGGTTAATAACCAACTTGGTTTGCCTTCAGTGCTGCAGAAGATGAAGGTCACAGAAGTCATTTACACTTGAGCGCGCTTTTTTTTTTTTTTTTTTTTTTTGCCTCTGACAATGTCAGGGAAGAGAGATGGGGGCACTAACTCCTATGAGACTGGAATTTTCCGGTTTTCCCAGTAAGTGAATAGTCAGGTGAATAGTTCAAGCATATGAGCAGATAAAGCATATTCATTTTCAAATAACTATGGTCACACGTTGGGACATACTGATATTTGCCTCAGACTATCTCACTTATAAAGACTGACAAAACTTCACTAAGCAAAAAGGACCAGTGGGAAACTGGTAAAAATGTATATACAAATATATATGCCCTGATTAACAAAGTGCTGCATTATTGAACATTTTACAAAGAAAATAACTGTGTTACTATCACATACAAGCAGTAAAAAGCAAATTCTCAAAATATTCCCAACTATAAGCTTAAAATGATAGTTGAAATGACCCCAGTCATTGTAAATGATAACTTACAATGTAGGTAACCAATTTTTTTTTCTGAATAGAAAAAAAAGTGATATTATTCCAGGAGTGAGGACTTAATGCTTTTCATTACATTCCAATGAAAACATTCAGGTGTATAGATTGTTTATTTATTAAAAATGTAAAATTTATTTAGAAAAGTTACTTGAGTGTTACCAAACTTCCTAATTTACTGTGATAAAATCAACAATGTTACATTCTATATATGTGAAAACATTTGGATTGAGTTTTGAGGACAGACTCAGAGTGAATATTGATATGGAGAACCCAGAAGCTCAGCTGTGCCTTCATATGCTGCTCAGGAAGATATCTCAATCCGTGTTTGAAAAGTACCTGGTGTTACCCAACATGCCCTTTGAACCATCAGCTGACAACTGGAGCAGGAAGGCTCCGCTCTAACAGGGAGCACTGAGCCAGCCCCATCGGGTTTTTTTTTCCATGTTTCTTGTTCAGCAGCTGCTATGTTCCTGACAAAAAGGCTGCTTGCTGGTTTGATGATGCGTAGCAAATGAATGCCTACAGCCGCGGGGTCCAAAATAAGTATATGCCGTTCCATGGAAAAGCCACAGCTTAATATTGCCAAGGCTTTGCTCCAGGGCTTCATGCAAAATTAGGTTTTTAAGGGCAGTTTAGTAACTTATTGCGATCATCAAGACGCAGTTCTTTGTGTGGAGGTGTGAGCACAGACAGCCAAAGGCAAGAGTAATCCTTCCTAATGTATGTATTTAACACCCATCTGTTTGGGCAACAATCTGAACTTTAATCAGATCTTACTCTACTCTTCACAGCCAACCCAGTTTTACATTTATTGCAAAGGTATAAAGGATCCTCTCTTTGCTAAGCAATTTGCTTCAGTTTTAGACATTCGTGGTTTGTGTAGTTGAATCACACACACAAGTCAGTAGAGTTCACACTAACTAATGGTGTGCATTAGGTTGATTGGAGTCACTGGTGCTGTTCTTTCTCATGCTCCTTTAAATCTCAGAACAGAATAGAGTGAGTAGCAGAAACACCAACTTATCAACTTACGTAGCTATAAACCTAAAGCTAACTGGGTTAAGTCAATATTTGGTCCCATTTGGATTTCCGCGGTGCTGGTTTTCTCATGCATTTTGTTGACTTCCCCACTCAATGTTGCAGACATTCCTTTCTAGGGTTTAGACTGAATTTATATCCTCCTTCAGGTCCTGGATCATTTTTTTCCAAAACTTTTGAAATCTTCATCTGGCACTTTCCAATGTCAGCATCTTTGAGTTCAAGACTGTTGTTTTGGATAACTCTTCTCAGGAGGGAGTCTTCTTACTGGGCTTCCTGCTCTTTAAGGCACAATCTCTGGTATCAATTGATTAGGCAGCTTCTGTCATACACAGACACACACACACAGATAGGCACATACACACACACAGACACAGATGCACAGAGAGAAAAAGAGAGACAGAGAGAGACAGAGAGAAACACACACAGACACAGACACACACAGACATGGACACACACAGACACACACAGACACGGACAAACACACATATTTTGTCATGGAAATGAGCAGTTTGACTTACTTCTCTCTATATTGGAGAAGAAAAGACACAAACACAAGTATTTTCTTCTGCTTTAGGCATAGTTTAAGAGGAGGAAAAATTCTATACTTTCAAGCCTGGACCCAGGAGATAAACCAGGTAGACTGGTGACAGTAGTTATAGCCCACAGGCAGCCATTGTGGAACTCTGAGCCTAGGCTGCCCAATTCCTAAACACATGTGATAACCTGAGCTGCTGATGCTGTCTAGTTGTTCCTTTTTGCTGGACACCTTGCTGGGGCAGTATCATCTCCAGTTAACTTAACCATTATGCAGGGAAGCTGGGTGTAAATCATCTTTGTGACCCAGAGCAAGTCACTCACACTCTTTTAAGTTTTGCTTTGCAGCTAAAATATAGGAAAATGAGTTAATTCTCCCTCAATCAAGTATTTGAAGATACAGCTAAAAATTCTTGCTGAATGGGCAGATACAAGCTGAGATGGGCGAACGCTAAACTACTCATCTTGCTGCAGGATGAGCAAGAGTAACCTAAGAGTGGAATAGAAGGCTGCAGAAGCCTGGGATTCACTTCCAAAGCTCTGAACCTAGCAAATGTGAGCATTTTAAATAGACATCTCCAGCGCTTCCTGCAGTAGGCTGTGCAAGGGTCACATTTTCAGGAACCAACACACTGAACATTCTCTCAGCTGCCTTTCTTTCATCCTGAGACTTTTTGTTTTGTTTAATTGTGAGAGAGAAGCAGCTTCTCATTGTTTTCAGGTAGAAAGTGGTGGTCAGACCATTTACAGACATGTATGCAGCACAGTAGAGCATGGATGCAGCACGGTAGGATGAGAAAGGGGTCTCGCAGGAGACAAGGATCGGAAACCAGTGGAGTTAGCCTGGGAGTAACATCATGCAATGCAAGTTTGTGGGCCCATGCAGTGTCTAGAGTGTGCCAAACTTTCATTCTCCAACATCTAAAAAGCAAAATAATGTGTAGCTGGGAATAATGTACATTTCATGGCAGCAGCACCTGAGGCCACACGGAAGAGAGTGATGCTCCTCCCAGTGTTGCTGGAACAGAAAACATTTAGCATGACTGTTTCTTACAACCCTTTCTAAGGTTCTATGGCAGTGGTGTGGTGAAGTAAGAAGGACTGCTTTATATGTGAGAGAAAACAGCACAGAGCAAAACACTCTGGGCAGAGCTTCTGAACTCCCCGCAATCTCCCTGGATTCAGCTTCTTTGGTTAGGCTGTTATGGGGAAGAGGGGCTAAGTTTCCTTCTGTCCATCTTGGGTTCGTTGCCTGTGGTTTCATGCATTAGACTGTCTGACTGTCAGGCTAACAAGAAAACACACTTATTAGTGTATTGTGCACACACATGGGGAGGACTCCATAGTGGGTGGTGATTCAAAGGAGTAGTTAGAACATTTGGATGTCATCTTAACAAAAGGACAATGAAAGTGCAGAGAAGAGACCAGACAAAGAGAAGGGAATTTGAGTTTCTAGGGTGGACAAGTGTGGGTAGGAAAATAAGTAGAGAAATTTGCTAGAAGAAAAGGACTGGCCAGGAAGGCTGAATTCCTGTGGAGCCTTCTGCAGCCTGACAAGGGTCATTTGTCTCTGCGGGTGAGTGTCAGTTCTTCCAGATAATGGAAGCATGAACATGTTCACACAGTGTGTCCCTACCTGGGCACATAAGAAAGCTGAGAGATTTCTTCTGCCTGCTTTGCTTATGTTCATTGTATAGCTTGAAAAACAAATCCTTATAACATGGTGATACATTCCAGCATGTTATATGCCTGCCTAAAGACACACACACACACACACACACACACACACTGTTTGGTTTTTGGACTTTATCAGGTTTTCCTTATAATTGCTGCCCTTTTGAACTTCTGAACCATAATATCCTCCAGGGTGGCTTTTTCTCCTGCTGTATTTGTGCCTCACATCTCTCACACTGCCAACTTTGGCTAAACATGCAGAGGGCTTTTCAATAAACACTAACATTTATGAGTGTGGTGGGTACACTGACAGAGTAACCCCCTTGAATACTGCCCTTTGTGCACCATGACAAGAACTTTACACATCCACTCTGTAATTTAACTGCCATTTGGGTGTCAGAAAATAAGTAAATTCTGATGTCACATAGCAAATAAGTGAACATAGTTAAATTGGTTAATTGGTTCTGTCTGACTTACCCAGCTACCTAATGAACAGTTCTCTAATGAAGATATTTACCTGGAAAGTTAGTATAACCTTCATTTACACTAACAGCTGGAGGCTGTGTAGAACTTCATTAAAGACCAGGTTCATCCTACATTTTCCCCCGAATCCAATTGTTCACTTGGGGGCAACAGAGCTCTGCACATTCCTGATCTTGAATCTCTTAGAACCTGAATGGCAGGTCCGTGGCCAGCTTGTTAAATTCGAACGAGGTCTTTCAATGACTACATAGATCTGTTTGCTTTTATGTAAATGACCCAATGAGCTGTTCCACCATTTAATCGCACTTATTTTTCCTCTCTCAACTGAGGTCTCGGTGTGATTATCATCGGCTTAGCCGTGACAGTGACAGCCATCACAGGTTTATCCACCTCTGCTATCGCCACAAATGGATATGTCAGAGGAGGTAATTAAAGTTGTAAGCCAGATCTTCACGTGCAAGGTAAAGACAACGCAGGCTCCATTAGCTCACCACTGACCTTTCTGGGGTGTTTTCAAAGGTAATGCAAGTTGGTTCCTTTCTTCCTGCCAGACAAAGGGGCACAAGACAAATGAAGAAGGAGTTAACCTTTGTCAAATCCCCAACTTTCTCCATCAGGTTCCTCTCAAGCAAGAGAGAAGGTCAGATGTCATGTTTTCTCTTTCCCAGCCGGGGTAGCTTCTCTCCCAGGACACCAGCAAAAGTCAGCTTTTCCTTTCCAGGGCTGCACTTTACACTGGGTTGACTCTGGGATGCCGCCCTTCATCATAATGAGGGCCTCTTGGACCTGATCTTCAATGCCAGGCACAGCAACCTTTGTACAGAGAAACCCCACTGGGCCTAAAGCATGGGCCTGAAAAGTTAAATTAAAGGCAGCAGAGCTTGCAGGAGTAGGGAGTCCAAGGAAGACGAGTGAAATGTAATATCTTCTGTCTTTCATTGCTAACAGGTCTTGGAGTTCTTATAATACTTCTTTCCACCATGGTAACCTCTATCACTGGGTTGTCAACTTCTGCAATAGCAACAAACGGGTTTGTTCGTGGAGGTAAAATCTCTAAGATATCTAATATCTGCGTCACATGCTACGGGTAGGCACAAGTTTTCTATATACTTTCTTACTGATGGGCACAAGGAAGTGAGGCGGAGCTGAATTCGGAGAGCAGCATGGTAAGTGTAGTTCAAGTCCATTCAGGCCATGGCTAACAGAATCCTGGCACGTTACAGGTCCTGCTCCACGTGGAGTCCTTGAGGATAGCTCTTATTTTTCCAGGCCAGTCTGGACACTTCTTGCTGGCATTTATCAGAAAGTGACTCCTCCATGTGTGGCTACAGTTTTAAAGTACAGTGCATTTCAGGTGTCTCCACGCTGTCGTGGAACGGGACCGGTTAGAACATTTCAGGTTTCTGGACAGAGACTGACCTTCCGTGACCACTGCCGCTTCCTGAAGTAACAGTGATTTCTCTACCTACTGGAGCCAAACACCTTTGTTGGGGGTTTTGCAGGTCTGGGAGTCATCATCATTGGCCTGAGCGTAGTAGTGACAACACTCACAGGTATTTCTATGTCGGCTATTTGCACAAACGGAGTGGTGCGAGGAGGTAAGCCGATTGATTTACTTGACACTATAAACTGTGGTTGCATTTCCTGCCTGGAGGTGTTTAATAACTAAATGTGGAGATTTTATGTTGCTAACCGGCCCCCAAGACTTGAAACAAAACAAAATAAAGCAAAATTTAAGTAACGGGGTAAAATTCTTCTCAATTAAAAATGAAGAGACCAAGGGGGCGAGGAGGGCCCCTTTGATCCATTTCCTGTGAGGAATCCCATTGGATTCTCAGTACCTAGGTGAGCTACAGTGGTCCCCTCCTGGACCCCCTCAGCCTGGGTGCTCCCCAGTATCCCATCTCATGGTGGTGGTTCCCATATAGCCAACACTCTTGCACCCAGCCTTTGGGTTCTCCCTCAACAATCTGCTTCTATTGAGAACCATCAACAAAAAGGAAATTTAAAATAAATAAATAAATAAATAAATAAATAAACAAAACAAAGAGTTACTATCAAGTTTCCAGGAGCAAGCAGGCCTGAGTAGAAAACAAAGTAGGTGAAATCTGTTGCTGTTCTAGCTGTCCTCACCATGCTCATGGGGACGCCGCTGATTTTTGCCTTGTTTGTTTCATCCAGGTTTCCTCTGCTTAGGGTTTGATGGTGGTGGTGGATGTTTTCGGTTTTTATGATTTATTTTTGTCTTTAATTGTGTGTGTGTGTGTGTGTGTGTGTGTGTGTGTGTGTGTGTGTTATATATGTGGTGTGTGTCTGGTGTATATGGTGTGTATGTAATATGTGTGTTGTGTGTGGTGTATATATCTGTATCTGTGGTGTGTGTGTGTGGTGTATATATCTGTATCTGTGGTGTGTGTGTGTGGTGTATATATCTGTATCTGTGTGTGTGTATGGTGTATATAACTGTATCTGTGGTGTATGTGTGTGTGTGGTGTATACATCTGTATCCGTGGGGTGTGTGTGTGTGTGTGTGTATGGTGTATATACCTGTATCTGTGGTGTATGTGTGTGATATATATATCTATCTGTGGGGTGTGTGTGTGTGTAGTGTATACATCTGTATCTGTGGGGTGTGTGTGTGTGTATGGTGTATATACCTGTATCTGTGGTGTATGTGTGTGGTATATATATCTATCTGTGGGGTGTGCGTGTATGGTGTATATATCTGTATCTGTGGTGTGTTTATGTGGTGTGTGTCTGTGTGTGTATGTAGTGTGTCTGTGTATGCATCTGTGTGTGGTGTGTATGTCTGTATCTGTGGTATGTGTGTGTGGTGTGCATATGTGGTGTGTATCTGTGTATGGTATGTATGTCTCTGTGGTGTGTGTGTTGGGGTGGGGAGGTATTTTCAAATCAGTTTTGGTGCTAGAAGAGGCCAGAAGATAGACTAGAGTTACAGATGGCTGTGACCTACTTAACCTGGGTGCTAGGACCTTGAGTCCTCTATAAAAACAATACACACTCTCAACCACTGAGCCATCTCTTTTGCATGGTTTTGGTGTGGTGAGAGAATGTCGTACTCTGCAGTAACAGGCTGGCCTTCAATCCATGACAATCTGCTTGTCTTAGCCTTCCAAATTCCTTGACAGGCATGAGGAACACCTCTGTCCCCCTACCTCACCCCCAACCACCACTTCAGATCCTTGTAAACATCACCCTAAACACAGCACATCTTCTCTTTCAACTTATATTTTACTAATTGGTTTTTTAGAGATATATCTTATTTTATGTGGAAGAGTAATGCCTGAACCCATGTGTGTGCACCATGTGTGTGTACCATGTGTGTACCTGGTGCCCGAGGAGGTCAGAATTGGGCATCAGATCCACTGGAACTGACACAGCACATGGCTGTGAGCTACCACATGGGTACTGAGAATTGAACCTGGGTCCTCTGCAAGAGCAGCAAGTACTCCTAACCATTGAGCCACTTCTCCAGCCCATATTTGTCTCTTCTGACTGGTATGCTCATGTAACGGGCCAGCTAGTTTGCTGAGCAAAGTTAACTTTTAAAAACTCATGGGGATTTGCTCTACCAGACAATATGTTCCATTCTGAGAACTGTTATCCATAGTGAACACAGTTCCTTCTCTGTAAAAGGTGGTTTTGTTTTGAGTTTGCTTGTCACATGTTGACTTTGCAGACCTCATGACTAGCTCCACCTAAGAAGTCACTGTGGTGTACACGTTTTTCATCTAGCCTGTTTGCCGGTTATTTGCTCTACCTGTGATGTGCTTCTGTTCAGTTTTCATGTCACAGGAGTGGGTGGCCATAGACAACGCTTTCCTTTAGTGTTCAAGGAAGAACACTGGCTCTAGGCCCTACTCCCCAGGTTTCCTTTCCATTCCTCGTTCTTATTGTGAGAATTCAAACTTCATTAGGCTAAAGCCAGAAAACAAGAGTGGGAAACACACACCCCAAGACCAATGCTCACTTTACTGACTAGCTATCAGAAGAGTTCATGCAATAGAATGGAGGTTAAGAAGAGAAAAAGATCAACTACTTTGTTCTTTTGGGTCAGGGTTTTATGTAACCCAGCCTAACTTCAAATTTACTCTAGCTGAGGATAATCTTGCCTACCTAATCCCCCACCACCACCTCCTCCCAAGAGCTGGGATGACAGGCTTGTGCCGCAACACCAGAATAAATCAAGTTCTGCCATTTCGTTTTCTACCCTGGTCTGTCAGTTTCTGAAAACTTTGAATCGAAAATTTTATTTGTTACCTCATTAATTTGGATACTGTAGTGATTTTTTTTTAAAGAGTGATTTGGGTAAAACTTACTGTTATTATTTATAAAATCAAATTAGGATTCTACTGGTAAGTTTTGATAGTTTGAACTGTATTGTCACATAGTTTGCAGATTAGGTACAAGTACAAGGCAGAGCTAGCTACAAATACACATGATGACATAGGACTTCCAAAATTACTAGGACTCCATATACTCTTATTGTATAATGGTTACACGCGTAATTTAGAGGCGGGACATCTTGGCATCCTGCTTCAGCTGACACACGCTGTTTTCTCTTCACAGGTGGAGCCTACTACCTGATTTCCCGGAGCTTAGGGCCTGAGTTCGGTGGGTCAATAGGCTTGATTTTTGCTTTCGCCAATGCAGTGGCTGTCGCTATGTATGTGGTGGGGTTTGCGGAGACTGTGGTAGATCTTCTTAAGGTAATTAAAGCTTTTCTTTGTACCCACAAACCAAACAATTCAACTTCACTTTCTTTTACAGGGCCTGAGGGGATAGTTTTATGTCAAGATAAGAGGAGAAAATTTCAGTATTAGAGCTGGGGCCCCAGGCATGACCTCAGAGGATCTGGCTTTGAGTTCAGCTCTCACCCTACCATCTGGGAGACTTTAAACCAGTTTCTTATACATCTGAGGCTTATTTTCTAAAGCTGAAAGAGCAGTTAATATTACTGCTTTGTGCATTTCACAAGAGTTCAGTACCGATCAGGTAAAAAGGATGTGTGTAACATGCGAAGCTTCAGGTAGAGTGAGGACATTCTTTCCTGCAGCCACATCGCTTTGCTTACAAGGTTTCCAAAAATAAAGTTTGAACACGAGAACAACTCACTGTACAAAAGGAGGCCTTTCTTAGCTAGGTGTCCACCTACCCAGTTGCTCTGGGAAGAAGCTCTGTGAGCCCATGCAGTGTGGCAACTCCTCACCTTCCTCTTGTGCTAATAAAAGGCCCAGCTGAGTCTGATGATAAAAAGTACCTCTACAGGGAAATTACATAAATAAATGAGCACATTGTGTATTTCTTAAGGTACGTTCTTATCTTAGTCAGGGTTTCTATTCCTGCGCAAATATCATGACCAAGTTGGGGAGGAAAGGATTTATTTAGCTTACACTTTCCACATTGCTGTTCATCACCAAAGGAAGCCAGGACAGGAACTCACACAGGGCAGGAAGCAGGAGCTGATGCAGAGGCCATGGAGGGATGTTACTTACTGGCTTACTTCCTCTGAACTGCTCAGCTTGCTTTCTTATAGAACCCAGGACTACCAGCCCAGGGATGGCACCACCCATAATGGGCCCTCCCACCTTTGATCACTAATTGAGAAAATGCTTTACAGTTGGATCTCATGGAGGCATTTCCTCAATGGAAGCTCCTTTCTTTGTGACAATTCCAGCTTGTGTCAAGTTGACGCACAAAACCAGCCAGTACTGCTCTCTTCAGGGGATGTATTACTGAGTCTGTGTTCATTGTTCTTGAGTTGAATAACACTTTCTGATACTCATATTATAAGCTACCCAATTTTATTCCTCTAAAATTCCCCTTGGCACATAAAAGTAATTAGTCCTTTTGCTAAAACACAACACAAAAGGTGTGGACATGCATACTTTTATTTAGTGCTGCAACAGCTCCCAGAGCTGTGACTAAAAGGAATTTCTAACATCTCTAGCCCTTCGTCTTGCCTATCAAAGGCCTACATCACAGATAAAAAAATTAGAATTCTTTTGACTTCTGGAACTTATGAACATTTCATTTTCTTATTATCCTATGTGGCCTCAGGTATTTGTGTACAGTTTCTCTTATTATTGAATGTTCTGAGAAAGACTGAATGCAAAGAGCTATCTCTAACCATTTGAGTGATTCCCCCACCCCCCAGGAGAGTGATTCAATGATGGTGGATCCAACCAATGACATCCGCATAATCGGTTCTATCACAGTGGTGATTCTTCTGGGAATCTCAGTAGCTGGGATGGAGTGGGAAGCTAAGGTGAGCATCTCTGAATAACACTGTGACAAATGCTAGCCAGGCCCTGAGTTAATCGCAAGAATGAAAGAAACACCATGCTCACAAAGAACAGCTCATTACAACAAAAGGTGTAAGTCCACGCCAAGTCTGGTCAGGACTGCCTTGTTTCACCTTGCTTGCTGCCATTGTGGGGACATAGCCAGCAAGATGATGTACCTTCGTGTGCAACCATTGTTCAGAACGCAGCACTGCACACTGGAGACCCAGGTTTCATCCTCATTCGCTGGGCAGAGAGGAAGGCAGTATATTAAGCTTCATCTGTGCAATGAGAATATCTAGATTTGAATAGTCTGTATCATTGTTGCTTCTAAGTTGGCCCCTTTCCTGTGATGTCACAGGCTCAAGTGATTCTTCTGGTCATTCTTCTCATTGCTATCGCAAACTTCTTCATTGGAACTGTCATTCCATCCAACAATGAGAAGAAATCCAGAGGCTTCTTCAACTACCAAGGTAATTGTGACCAGTCAGTCACTGCTCAGTAAATGTGTCTATACTATTCTACCCATCATTACTTTTCTCACCCCATCCCCAGCCACCAGGATTCCAATGTGATCCAGGAAAGGGCCTAGAACTGGATTCTGGAGTCCTTGTTGGTTTGGTCTTGACTCTTGGTCATCAGCTGAACAGGTTATACATATCCTGTTTGGTTCTTAGATTTCCCCACTAAATCCTGAGGAAAGTTTAAAGGAATTATGCAAAGTATTTAACATTTAGAAGTAATTTTGAAAAGTCAATCCTTTTCAGTTGAAGATGTGAAAGTCTCTTGTAAATCTTTGAATATTATTCAGTGGTCACTAGATGGTTAAACAGTAAGAATAGAAGGTACATGTAGGGAAAGAAAACCTGGAACTGGGAAAAATGATCAACCATTGAAGAACACTAATGTTAAATCAAGTCCTCTTGTCTTCCTGAGAGACATTGTAAGGTTCAACCTTGCTGGACATAACCTGAGGATCACTGCTGAGCCTTTCATAGCAGCTCATAACCTCTGTAACTCCAGTTCTAGGGGATCCAGCACCCTCTCCTGGCCTCTGTAGGCATCAGGCAATCACACAGTATATAGACATTCATACAAGGAAAGAACACATACATTAAAAAAAAAAAAGGTTATGGGTGAATTACTTGTGTAACTCCTTGTGAGCTCACCACGGCGTGCACATTTGACTTTTTTCTCCCTATTCTGCTTCTCCTACTTTCTTACTTTCTACCCTAGCTTACTCAAGAGCACACAGCTGAAGTACACATCATATACATGTCCATGTACGTCACATACATGTATGTCACATACATCTACATATTCATATCTTCATTATGTATTCAGTTGTCAATATCTGTGACACCCCCTCACCATTTTTAAAGCCATGTGGCAGTGGGGGTTGGGGGAGGTCTGGAGAGATGGCTCAGTGGTTAAGAGCACTGACTGCTCTTCCAGAGGTCCTGAGTTCAATTCCCAGCACCCACATGGTGGCTCACAACACCATGTGGTTCTTTTATTTGCTTTTCTGTACAGTGGTTATTTTATTTTGGGGGGTTTTACTGTCCTTTCTTTTCTTCCTTTCCCCTACCTTGCATCTTCTGATGTCTTCAACTTTCTTTCCTCCTTTTCTCATCCCACATTCCCTTCTTTGTCCAGTTTCTTCCTCTTTCTGCCTTTTCTCAAAATTGCTTCCTTTTTTTTCTGGGTGACAGCCTTTAGCATTGTTAGTACCTCACCATGGTCCTGCTCTCTGAGGATGTGGCTATGAGGGGTAGGTGAGTATGGGCAGTATATTTGTGAGGGAGCTAACATGCTCCTGTGAGAATTATGGGATTTTGGTAATATTTATTTATTTTTATGTATTTTAATGTAAAACTTTTTTTCATACAGTGTATTCTGATTACAGTTTTCCCTCCCACAACTCCTCCCTAGTCCTCTCAATCTCCCCATAGGCAGAATTCCACACCCTTTCTTTCTCTCTCTTTTTAGAAAACAAGAAAATAAACAGGCAAACAAAAACAGAATAAAAACTGAAAACAAAGAAAGCTAACTAAAAATACACACATTTACATAAAAACCAAACCCAGCGGGGCAGTAGTGGTACACACCTTTAATCCCAGCCCTCAGGACACAGAGGCAGGCAGATCTCTGAGTTTGAGGCCAAACTCTGGTTTACAGAGTTCCAAGACAGCCAAGACTTCACACTGGAACCCTGCCTCAAAATGCAACCAAACAGAAAACATTAAACACAAAATTGGAAACCCATAATATTCAAGCAAAGGAAAGCAAGACCAAAAAAAAAAAAAGTCCAAACAAAGCAATACAAGACAAAAAGTCTTTAAAAATAACCATGAGTTTCTTTTGTGTTGGCCAGCCACTGTTCCGCATGGGGCCTCTCATAAGTATGGTTCATACACCCAGTGAGACTCTACTGAAGGAGACTAATTTTTCCTTCTGCAAGAATTTCTCAGCCTTTTTCCATTTCTTTTGTATTCAAGAAGACAAACAAGCATGATTTCTAATGTCTTTTTCAAAGCTCTGTCTAGAGGTCTAAGACTTAAACATGTGCCTACAATGATAGACACCTCAGTACTAGAATTAGAATAACCAATCGTTTCAAGTTGACTCTGCTGTAATTCTAAGGATCTGTTTCCACTTAGAAATACAGAAGTTAGGAGTGTAAACTTCTACTGTGTGGGAAAACCAACACAGTAATGTTCCTCTCACTTCCATTTCAGCATCTATATTTGCGGAAAACTTTGGGCCAAGCTTCACAAAGGGGCAAGGCTTCTTTTCCGTCTTTGCCATCTTTTTCCCAGCTGCTACTGGGATTCTTGCTGGTGCCAACATCTCTGGAGACTTGGAGGTATGCAGTTTCCTCTGCTTTCTAGCTCTGGTGGTGGGAGTGTGGTGTAAGCATGAGAAGGCATTCAACTAAATACGACTTAGAGCATGATAAGTCCCAGGGACTCAAGAATGAAGGTCTCTACTTGATTCCCTGGTTAGTTGCAAGCTTTTTCTCACTCTCTCTCCTTTCATTTATACCTTCAAAGGTAGCATGGTCTCAGTAGATGCTGACTGAGGGAGTAGGTTAAGGCATTTAGATCTGTTATACTAGTGACCCACCGCCATGGTAAATTCTTATATTTTTGGTTGTGAGCGGCTGAGCCATCTCTCCAGCCCAGTCACGGTAAATTCTTGAGCAGACAGTCTATGGCAGAAGAAAGGTCATGCCAAAAGTCAAAAAGTCAAAAAGTCAAAAACTTGTTTAAAATGGTTCAACTCCTTTCCTCACTTAATAAAAGATAGTTATGGACTCCTGTTTTCTCTTTACCTAGGAAAGTTTACTGATATAAGCTTCCAGAAGCTACCAGCAGGCTTTTAAATTGGAAAATATTGTGCTTTCTTTAGACTCCTTAAAAACAAGGTGTTTAGTCAATCCATCTTACTTCATGCCTGAATTAAGGCCATTCAGGAGAGGTAAAAAGCTCTGTTAGAGTTTGAAACAAAGGAAAGAATGTCTTTTACTATAAGCTATTATAAGTTCTATTCCATTCTGTTCTTTTAACACTGGTTTCACTTTACTGGATTGATTTTATGACATCGTAGATGAGGAAGAAGAGGCTTGGATTTAGCAAACGAGGTTAAAACAGGTGACATCTTCCCACCTCCCACCTCCTATCCAATTATGCTCATATGAAGTTGGTTATGTCACCCAGATCCCATGAAATTTTTGTGTGGGGTGAGCATGTGCCTGCTTGTGTTCCTCTGTGTGTGTGTGTGTGTGTGTGTGTGTGTGTGTGTGTGTGTGTGCTTGTGAAGGCCAGAGGTCAATACGGACACTTGGTTGTGTTTTGATATTCTGGAACTTGGGGAGGCATCAAGTAGGCTAGACTGGCCGGCCAATGAGCTCCAGCCATCCACCTGCCTCACCTCCCTAGTGCTGGGATTGTCAGTGTGCCCCAACCCCTGTTTGTTTCTTCTTTTAAACATAGATTCTAATAATTGAACTCAGGCCTTCGTGTTTATCCAGCAAACACTTTACTGAACAATATATTCTTAGGCAATAAAATACAATGAAAATATCATGTAGATTAGGAGATTAGGTAGTGCCCATCTCAGACACCCGGCCCTCTCCTCCTTCCCAGGAGCTGTTGTGTTGCGCACACTTGCTCGTTGGCACTGGAGACAATAGTGTGGAGGGAAGAGGCCAGATACACAAGTACTAGCAACACACTCTATACAGATGTTTCTAGAAGAATTAGAGCTTATGGATTAGTAGCTGCATAGAGCTGGTTACACCCATGTAGGGCAGTTTTGCTTGGTTAAGTCATGATCTCCAGTGGTCAGGTTGCATCTGCATTCACCACGTATGACCTTTTTGATGGACTTGATCATCATATTTAAGTTTTAAAAAAAGCCAATGCTCAAATTTCATTTGCCTATATTGGTTGCTCCAGGAGACTATTGTCTGCTGGAATTATACTTTTCTCTATTTGGTATTTATTGACTCCTTCTGAATGCCAGGTAGGCACCCTGTATAAGAAAAGCATGCTTGAAAATATTTGTATAAAAATTGAATTGAATATAATCCAATATGCTGCTTGGAAGTTACTTTGCTATAATTTAGCAATCCCTTTTCCAAATCACATATAATGTGATAAATTATCATGTGGATCAATTCAATGTATGTCTATACATTTATAAGCAAGAGAAAAACTCCCACTGTGACATAGGCTTGACCTTACCTTGTAACATTAAGAATTTTGAGAGACTGGAGAGTTTAGTAGATGATCCTTTTTGCTCAGCCAGAAAGGTTTTTCATTTCATTGGTTGGTTGGGGTTTTTTTTTGTTTATTTGTTTGTTTTAATTAAAGACAAGCCTAAGCTCAGTATTAAACCCACGCATGCCCAGCTATTGTCAATATGCCCAATGTGTCCGTGTGTCTGATGTATCTACATACAGTTCATAAGGAAACAGGTCTGTTGTACTTCCGTAACGTCCCTTTTGATGGGAGTTCGACTCGCTTCAGTTGAGCACTGAGTTTTTATTCGTTTGGTTTTTTTTTTTTTACATTAGGATTTGTTTATTAAGACTAGAACTATGATCCTCCTTTTCTTTTTTAATTGAAAATAGATTTTTTCATACCATATATTCTGATTACAGTTTCTCCTCCGCAAACTTCTCCTAATTGCTCCCCGCCCTCTCTCCCAGCCACATCCACTCTCTTCCCATCTCTCTTTAGAAAACAACCGGCACCAAGGGATAATAGTAAAATGAAATAAGATAACTCAAAATGAAACAAATATAGAACAAAATAACCAAACAAGAGAGAGAGAGAGAGAGAGAGAGAGAGAGAGAGAGAGAAAGAGAGAGAGAGAGAGAGGAAATGCATATAGACATAGAGATAGATATACATGTTCACAAACACAAGAATCCCATGAAAACACAAAACTGAAAGCCATACTATATTCATAAAGGACTTGTAAGGCAAAAACAAACAAACAAACAAACAAACAAACAAACAAACCTGACTAGATATCATAAGACAAAGAATCCCAAAGATAGTTTTGTGTTGGCCATTTACTGCTGTGCATTGGGCCTGCCTTCAAGAGTGGTTTGTTTCCCCAATGAGACTCCCTTGGAAAAAAAACCTAATTTCTCATTTGCAAATGGCTATCAATCAGAGATTGCTTCTGGATTAGGGATGGGAGCTTGTGTGCACTTTTCCTTTTGGTTCTAGGACCTCATCTGGTACAGACTGGTGCAAGCTCTGTGCGTTTATAGGCAGCACCAGGTTTCCTATTCCTTTGTTCACTCTAAACCAAAAGATCTGAACCTGTGGGTCATGACCCCTTTGGGAGCTGCATATCAGCTCTTTAATCACACTTAACGGTAAATAATATTATGGCTGGGGCTCACCACAACATGAAGGAATGTATTAAAGCATCATAGCATCAGGAAGGTGGAGAACCACTGACAGTCTGCCCTAAGACTCGATGGTTTCTTTAGCCCTTGCCTTAGGGAGCATAGTTTAACACTTTGAGAATACAGAAACAACTCAGAGCATCTGAACACTTCTCAGCTTATTCTCTCCTCTGCATATTTTTCCACAGGATCCCCAGGATGCCATCCCCAGAGGGACCATGCTGGCCATCTTCATCACCACCATTGCCTACATAGGTGTTGCTATTTGCGTAGGTAAGAGGAACATCTCTGATATCAGAATTGCAAGGAGTCTAGTGGTTCTTTGTGTCTAATGGATTTCGATGGAACATAAGTAAGCAGAAAGGTTTTTTTCATTTGTTTGTTTGTTTGTTTGTTTTAAGGCATCAACTTTACTTCCTTTCTTAATACTGAAGAGTTTGTATTTTGCAGGGGAGGGGTGATGAAATTGAAATGTAGTGTAAGCATCTTGAGATCAGTGCCCCAACTTTGACTGTAGTGCTGAGAAAGCTATCACTCCCAACACTCAGTTCTCTTGCCCTGTAGGTAAGCGAGAACCAGGGCAGAGCAAAGTAGTTTAAAAAAAAAAAAAAGAAAAACAAAAACAAATAAAACCCAAACTCAAACATGGCAAAGGAAATCATGAAAGATGAAGAATTCACAACAATATTGCCAACTTGGAAGTGTCATTGACACCAACTGCCAGGAAATCAGCACAGCCCCAGCTGTTAGCAGTGTGGAAGCCAGCTCTATGCTTCTCAGCGAGCAGAGCATGCATATGTGCCTTTTCCTTCTGCTCACAAGGCAAGCTTTAATTCTAGCTGCTGCCTGAAGCCACACCTCCTCTTAGGGCTATTGCATGCTTATGCCATAGTGGAAAGGAAAGAATATGTTTTCCAACAAGCAGAGAGGAAACCCTCCTCAGTGATAGTGAGGAATGCAGGCCTAGGTTAGACAACTAGGGAAGCCTGGTGACCATTTGACCAAAGAGTAAACTCTAGTCGTCCTTTGCTTAGTATAAGAAAAACTGGAAGAGTCCAATATCTTAAATTGGTTTCTGAAGAATAAAACCAAAAACTTAAAAGCTAAAACTGTTGACTATCTTGCTGCATCTTGTGTGAAGATGCAGGTAAGGTGATTTACTGTCCTGTGGCATTCCCAGCTGAGTTACACAGGAAGACATTTTCTAATTCAATGCCTTAGGACATCAACCACTTCAGAATAACACTGATGCCACCTGAGGTGAAGTCTTCCAAATGTGGTTTTAAGCGAGCATCTGTGTGCTTAAGAAATAGAAATGTTGAGAGAACTAGTAGCTAGAGAGCTCATGTGAGAGGCTCTCTGGGTTTCAGGTGGTAATTTGTGTGGCTGTACTTTGCCAGGCCATGAAGACGTCTCATAGAGAATCAATGTTAACAGAGGATCATGGCCTGGAGTCTCAGGACTTGGATCTGTTATGCAGGTCACAAAATATGTGGTTCCAAAAAGATGGTTGGATGTAAAGTGACCAGTGCAAAGAGGCAAAATCTAGATGGATAATATTTCTTAACTATCAGCAGCCATAAGTTCCACGTGTACAGAAAGGCTAGCAGGCCACCTCTCAAGCTTATGATAAAATGCTTTGGGAATTCCATGATTGACAGAATATACTTAATTCTCACCCCCTGGGGATTATCTTTTAAAGAATTCCTATCTATCTGTCTATCTGTCTTTCTATCTATCTGTCTTTCTATCTATCTATCTATCTATCTATCTATCTATCTATCTATCCATCCATCCATCTATCTATGTATCTATCTGTCTATGTATCTATCTATGTCTCTATCTGTGTATCTATGTATCTATGTACCATCTATGTATGTATGTATGTATGTATGTATGTATGTATGTATGTATGTATGTGTATCTATCTATCTATCTATCTATCTATCTATCTGTCTATGTATCTATCTATCTATCTATCTATCTACCTATCTGTGATATATGTATGTCCACATGTATGTTTAATTGCATGTGCATTTGTGAGCGTAGATGCGTGCATACTAGGGAGTACATGAAGATCAAAAGACAGCCTCAGGTAGGTCCTGGCTTTCACCCTCAATTAAAACAGGGTCTCTTTGTTGCCTACTGCTGTGTGTCTAGGTGACCTGCTGTCTTGCAGACAATCACTTGCCTCCCTTCCCATCTCAGCACAGGTGGGCTGTGACAGATCACTACCAGGCCTAGCTTTACATGGGTTCTAAGGGTTCAAATGAAGGTGCTCATGTGTGTGACTTTACTGACTGAGCCGTGTCTCCAGCTTCTGTCCTAATGAAAGGCTTATCTAGGATTAGAACTAGTGACCTCTCACACCAGAAGCAAAAAGCACATCTTCAGACCAATGAGCCACCTTGGGAACTGTCTTAAAGTAGTAGTAATGAAAGACCATGCTGGGGTGGAGTGAAAAACAAAATGAACATTAGTTGGCATTTTGCTTACAAAGAACATATCTTTTATATGATTTTTAAAATTCTTACATATAGTTTACATGTATATCCATATATTTCAATAACTATCAGATACATAATGGCAGAGATTGCAGTCAGAAAAACTCATAGGGATAGTAAAGAATTAAAATATATACTGAGTCTCTTTTCTTTGTTTCATTTCCTTGATATCTTATTCATATACATCATTGCACCTTCTGATCCATGTCCCTATGGGACTTTCTTATACCCCCTTTCCCTCCATTGTTACTCTTCCTTCCCCTAGTTAGTTCTCCCTCTACTTTCCCATCATATATATGTATATGTGTAGGCATATGTCTATGTCTACATATACGTGTAGGTATGTAAATAGACACACACAGATTTAGATCTAGATTTTCATATGAAAGAAAACTTGCAACCTCTATCTTTCTGTGTCTGTCTTATTTTGCTAAGCTTGATGATTTCTAGTTTTAGCCATTTTCTGTCAAGTAACATAATTTTCTTCTTCTTAAGAACACTTGTTGTGGGGCTGGAGAGATGGCTTAGCGGTTAAGAGCACTGACTACTCTTCTAGAGGTCCTGAGTTCAATTCCCAGCAACCACATGCTGACTCATAACCATCTGAAATGGGAACTGATGCCCTCTTCTGGTGTGTCTGAAGATAGCTGTAGTATACTTATATACATAAAATAAATATAAACTTTTTAAAAAAAGAACACTTGTTGCTCATGAGAAGGACCCAGGATCAATTCCCAGAACTTACATAGTGACTCCCAACCATCCATGACTCCATTATTTTAAGGACTCCAGTGCCTTCTTCTGACCTCTGCAGGGACCAGGCACATACATGGCACACATAAATACATGCAGGCAAAGCATACAGACACATAAAAAGAAGTAAGTAAGTCTAAAAAGAAAAAAAAAGTTTTATTTTTTAAAACAATTCTGTTTCTGAGAATCTATCCTGGGGAAATATTCTAAGATTTAGAAGAAAAAGTCAATGCATAAAGATGTTCATCCGACAATGTTTATGGTATAAAATAATGGAAGTATTCAAATGTGTGAAATTAATGAAATAGAAAGGAGTCTGATTGTCTCATCATTAATATTAATGGTTACTTAGGAAATATTGTTTTATCCCAAACACTGCCTTATGAGCTATTTTGTTCAGTTTACATACGAGGGGATGGATCCCATTACAATATCCACATAGACGTTTGCCAGTACATTTGGTTTTGCACTGTTCCCACCCCACCCCAGTTCTTCCCCTGCCTTCTCCCTGCCTCTCTCTTCCCCATGTCAAGTCCTGTTCCTGCTTTCCTCTTATCTGTGCCCCTTACCCTCTCTATTTCTCACCTCCGTTCTCTCATAATCCCCATTCTAGCTACATGACCTACAAACACACAGGTACCCACACGTGCATGTATAATTTTAAATCTAGATTCTACATCTGAAGGAGAGTGTGTAGTATTTGCCTTTCTAAGGCTGGTTTGTGTCACTTAGCATAATGATCTTCAAATGTGTCCATTTCTTGCCACTATCCTAATTTCATTTTCCTTTCTGACAGCATAAAATTGCACTCTGTAGACATAGCAGATTTTCTTCATCCCTTTGTATGTAGGTAGACACTGAAACTGCTTCCATGTCCTGACTATTATGGACAGTGCAGCTGTAAGCATTGATGTGCAGGGACCTTAGTGATATGTCTACCTAAGACTCTTGGGTATATATCCAAGAGTATATCTGGGTCTTATATTCAATCTATTTCCAGTTTCTTAAGGAATATTTATATCAGTTTCCATAAGGGAAACATAAGTTTACATCCCCACCAACAGTGGCTCAGAGCTCATCTCTCTCCGTATTCCCAGCAGTCCATGTTGTTCTTTGCTTTCTTTTTTCTAAGTTAATTTTTTTTATATTATACTATAATTACATGACCCCCTTCCCTTTTTGTATATGATGTTCGTTTAAGGATCTTCTCCAGTGTGGGTTTGGTGAACTCACCAACTTAGTCTGTGCCTGTCGTGAGATGCCCTTATTCTCCGTTGATTCTAAAAGATAACTTTGTGGATATGTCAATCTTGGTCAACAGTTACTTGCTTTGGAATATTTCATTTCAAGTTTTCTTGGCTTTGAGGGTAGCCTGTGAGATGTCTGGTGTTGTTCTGTTGCTTCTGCCTTTGTAGATAAGTTGGCACCACCCCTCACAGCTTTGAAGATGCCTTTTTCCTCTGTATTCTTGACATCTTGATGGAGAATCTTCTCTCCTCACATCTGTTTGGAGCCTTAAATGTTTCTGGAGCTTGAATGTCTGTCTCTCTGAACTTAGAGAATTTCTGTTATCATTGGGAGATCTTTTTTTCTTTTACAGCTTTAGTGCTGGCCTCTTTCTTCTGTGCTGGGGGTTCTGAGCTTCCGTGTCTTATTCACATCCCAGAGCCCTCAGATGTGGCCATGCTTGTTTGCTGCTGTAGGCTCTTATGCTGGCTTCTGAGGGCCATGCTCCCTCAACCCCACCTTCCATCTCTGACATTCTTCCCTCTGCTTGCCAGGTTTCCTGGGGACCAGTGATGTGGGCGATGTTTATTTCAGCCACTGGGTTTTTCATTTTCAAAGCTTCTGTGTTTTTGTTTGTTTGCTTTGCTTTGCTTTCCAAAACTCTCAGTTTCCTTGCTGACGTTTTCACCTGCACTGCTGATCTCCTCTGTTTTTTCTGTGTTTGTTGATGTTCCTCTCTGTGGTTTAGATTGAATTCATCTGATAGTTTGTAATTTCTTTTAGATTATTGATCATATTTACCAGACAACTGAAGTTGTCTGGTATTTTGCACATCTTTGGTGTCTTTGGATTTAACACTTGTGAAGTTACGATCTCTTGAAAAAGTCATGCTGCTGGCATTTTGAAGTTTCTTTTGTTTCTCTGCTGTAATTTATGCATCTCCTGGTTTAGATATCTCTTCTGGATGATATTTTTTAAAGGGAAAGGTCTTTCTTATTTAGTCACTCTTGTAGTCTCGGTCCCTACTACCAATCAAGAAAGAGGAGACAAACCTCTGTACCCACAAATGCACCAACTACAAACCTCTGTACCCACAAAT